TTCAATAGATAAAAAGCATTTCCTAAATCACTCTTCCATGATATATTCTTTTTTAAAAAAATTTTATTGAGGTATAGTTGATTTACAATGTTGTGTTTCAGTTATTCAACACAGTGATTCAGTTTTACATATATATGTAAATATAGATAGATACACACATATATATTGTTTTTCAAATTCCTTTCCCTTACAGGTTATTACAAAATACTAAGTATGGTTCTCTGTGTCATATGTAGGTTGTTGGTTATCTGTTTTGTATATAGTAGCATGTTTGCCCTTGATATATTCTTCAGTTCATTCGCTCAGTTGTGTCTGACTCTTTGCAACCCCATGGACTGCAGCATGCCAAGCTTCCCTGTCCGTCACTGGAGCTGGCTCAGACTTAATATCCATCGAGTTGGTGATGCCATGCAACCATCTCATCCTCTGTCATCCCCTTCTGCTTTAGCTCTTTCCCAGCATCAGAGTCTTTTCTAATGATCAGTTCTTGGCATCAGGTGGCCAAAGTATTGGAGCTTCAGCTTTAGCATCAGTCCTTCCAATAAATATTCAGGACTGATTTCATTTAGGATTGACTGGTTTGATCTCCTTGCAGTCCAAGGGACTCTCAAGAGTGTTCTCCAGCACCACAGCTCGAATGCATCACTTCTTCCACACTCAGCTTTCTTTATGGTCCAACTCTCACATTTGTCCACGAGTACAAGAAAAAACCATAGCTTTGACTAGATGGACCGTTGTTGGCAAAGTAATGTCTCTGCTTTTTAATATTCTATCTAGGTTGGTCATAGCTTTTCTTCCAGAGAGCACACGTCTTTTAATTTCATGACTGCAGTCACCATCTGCAGTGATTTTGGAGCCCAAGAAAATGAAGTCTGTCATTGTCTCCATTGTTTCCCCATCAATTTGCCATGAAGTGAGGGACCAGATGCCATGATCGCAGTTTTTTGAATGTTGTGTTTTAAGCCAGCTTTTTCACTCTCTTCTTTCACTATCATCAAGCGGTTCTTTAGTTGCTCTTCACTTTCTGCTGTCATCTGCATGCCTGAGGTTATTGATATTTCTCCCAGCATTCTTGATTCAATGAGGAAGAAAAGGAACCTTCTGAAGCCAGTAAGGTATAACTATTAGAAAAAAATAGAGAAAACATGTTATATAGGGAAGCATTAGAAACACTCCCTTTAAAATCAGAGACAGAGATGCTTGATATGGTGTGTATTCAATATTGTATTGACAGTCCTAAGCAGTAATGTAAGACAAGTAGAAGAAATTAGAGGCACAAGAATTGGGAAAGAGGAATGAAATTTTTATCTGCAGGTGATATGGTCATTTACATAGAATACAGAAGGATCTATAGACAAAATTATGAGTTTAGCAAGGTGACTGGATATAAGTTTATTGAAAGTCATTTGTATTTCTGTACGTATGCGAAACCCACTAAAAAACAGTGAGAAGGCATCACAGTAGTATCAGAATACCAACTTAAGGAATCAGTCTAAGACAAATATGCTAGACCTCTAAAGGGAAAGTTGAAGACTTAATAAGAGATATTAAATAAAACCTTAATAAATAGAGGAATATGTCATATTAATGATTGGAAAACAATTTGAGCAGGGATTTTCATGGAGCTTGATGATGCTAAATTTTGTATGGAAGAATTAAGGGCCAAGAATAGCTTGTCACTTCTAAAAAGGAATGGCAGGGGACTTGCCCTATAGGATAACAAGATTCATGATAAGATGTAAGGATTAGATGTGGAGCTGTATAGACAGAAAAATCATCTAGTAGACTAGAATAGAGAACTTGTGAACACCAGTATGTGTTACTACATAACAAAGGTGGCCATCAATCAAGAAAGTATTCAGCTGATAGAACAGGAAAAAAAAAATGGCCATCCATATATTGGGGAAAATGAGACCTTGAAGAGGCAGAGACCATTGACTGAAAAAGAGAAGATTGATAAATATAAATTTGAGTTCATTAAAATTAAGTTTTTGCCCATAAAAGTTTTTTTCCACCTAGAAAATGGAAAGGAAGTTACAATTGGGAGAAGATATTTGCAGGACATTATATTGACAAAGGGTTAATATTAAAAATATACAAAGAACTATTGCAAATTGACAAAAAATCAGAAAAGTGTGTAAAACACAACATTTCACAAAAGAGGAAATATACATGGCTGATAAATATGTGGAGATAACATCATTAGTGATCAGGTAACTAACTATAAACCAAACACATACCTATTTGGGAGAATTCCTGTAATTACATATAATATACTTCTTTTTTTGTAAGTTGAAAGCAACCAAACTAAAAATATGTATTTTTTAGGATTCCATTTTGATGCAGTGAAGTGCTTAAAAAGGAAGGGGAAAAAATCGAAATAGGATTCAGGATGAGTGTTGGGAGGAGACAGGGGATGGTAGGAGAGAATCTTACGGTTAAGTGTAGATTGTTGTCAGAATCATAGTTTGTGGATGTTTATTGCATTATTTAAAAAATCAGGTGAAAGTGGGCAGGGCCTTTCTGTGTGGTCTCCAGTAGGATAGCCAGTGGAAAGATGTGGTTCATTGGGGGCCATTTTTGGAAGCCATTCAAACTGTTACTAATATTTGTATTCACTATGTTGCTCTACTGTGTATATAATTGACAGTTTAGGCACTGGGGATGTATTAGTGAACAAATAAACATACATTCCTTCCCACTTATAGCTTATGTCTTACATGATAAAAATTAAACTATGTAATAGGTTGATAACAACGACAGTGAAGAAGAGAGGAATAAATCAGGGAAGGAGATAGGGAATACTGGGAGGTTGGGAGTTGCAGTTTCAAAAATGTATTGTCTTTGGAAGGCCTCATTGATAAACTGACATTTAAGCAGAGACAAAAGGAAGAGGTTTAGGAGCCAGAGGGGCAAGGGTGGAGCAAGAAAACCTTTAGGAACTAAGGCAATTCAGAGCTGGAAAGTTTGGTTAGTATAGTAATAATGGAAGTAGTGACACGTGATTTTATCTTGAAGATAGAGCTTCCGAATTGTGAAGGGTGAGAGAAAGAAGGAATCACGGATAGCTTCCAGCTCCCTGACCTGCGCAAGCATGGCCGTTGGAGACTGGGACTGGTAGGTTCAGGGAGATGAGGGTTTTTTTAAGAATAGGTTTGCAATGCCATTTAAAAACTAGCTGCTTCAGGGCTTCCCTGGTAGTCCGTTGGTCATGAGCCTGCTTACAGTGCAGGGACACTGGTTTGATCCCTGGTCCAGGAAGATCCCACATATTCTAGGACAGCTAAGACCATGGTGCCACAACTGCTGAGCCCACACCCCGCAGCTGCTGAAACCTGTGTGCCCTGGAGCCTGCTCTGCAGCAAGAGCCGCCCTCACACTGCAGCTGGGGAGGAAGCCCTGGTCCCTTCAACTGGAAAACCCTCCAGCAGCAGTGGAGACCCAGCGCAGCCATAAATTCATTAAGGAAAGAAAAGCTAGCTGCTTTAAAAGGACAAGTTATATACCCTGTTTGACTTCCATTTTATAGCAAGGGAAGCTGATAGAAAGAGGGTTGAATTTAATTAATTAGTTTAGGATAACACTAAAAAAATACTTAGTTTTGACCACATTGGATCTTAGTTGTAGGATCTTATAATACGTCGTGGGCGCTTTGTTGTGATGCGCAGTCTTGTGGTGGCTGGGCTCCAGAGACCCACAGCGTGAGGGATCTTAGTTCCCTGATCCGGGATCAAACCCGTGTCCCCTGTGTTGGAAGGCAGGCTGTTAACCTCTGGACCACCAGGGAAGTCCTGAGGGTTGAATTTATACTTTGTTGTCTTTAATAAGTCTTCTCAGAAGAGTGAGGAGTCTTGTTCCCTGCAAATCAGACTCTGTTGATTTTATTTTATTTATAAATTTCACTGACTTTTATCAGCTTCTTACTAGAAAAAGTTCTGAGGGTAAATGCAAGTTTATTTAAAAATCTTTTCTTTCTCTATAGTTTTTTAATAGAAATCTGTTTAATTTTGACTGTGGTGGGTCTTCGTTGCTGCATGCAGGCTTTCTCTAGTGTGGCAGGTGGGCACTCCGCTTTGTCGCAGTGTGTGGTGGCCTCTTTCGTGAAGCGTGGGCTCTAGACGTGCAGGCTTTAAGTGGTCGCAGTGCGTGGGCTCCAAAGTTGTAGCACATGGGCTTAGTTGCTCTGTGGCAGGTGGGATCTTCCTTGACCAGAAATTGAACCAGTGTTGCCTATATCACAAGGTGGATTCTTAACCACTGGACCATCAGGGAAACCCATATAGGGCTTTTGTTTTGTTTTGTTTTAAAGGACAAGAGATAAAAGGTGAAAAATAATTAAACCTTACTTACTCTTTATTTCAATTCATGTGTCTCTCCTTTGATGTTGTATGTCCACCTTGGTTTAACCCATTTTATAGGTATTTAGTTGCTATATGCTCTTTGGGCTTGGCACATTTTAAAAGCTGTTTTAACTGATACTGAATATTTTGTCTCTCACTTTGCTGTGGTCTCTTGCCAAGACATGTTTCAACATGTTGCAGAGGTTTTCCTAGGCATGCTCTTGAAATCTTAAACCTGTTACTTAATCTTGGTAATTCCCTCAGCCCTGCATCTGTCTCCTAGGGGGTGTGTCCAAAAGAGGAGGAGATACTAGAGAATTATGTGATCTACAGGGGAGGTATTGATTGTAAGTTTCACTTTCAGCTAAAACTGTACTCATCGTCATCAGTGTAGAGGTTGGAACATGCCTGAACCGATTTCTCTTGTAGACTTCACTTGAGGGAAGTATAGATGGTTTTTACTCTTAATTACGCTCTTCCATTTTTTTTCAGAGTCAACTAGAAAGTGATCAGAAGAACTGCAGCACTTGCGTAGGGTGCTCTGATATATGTGTCTTTTTTTACTTCTACTTGCTGTGTTTTTTTTGTTTATCCTAAAGAGAATTTTCTACTTTAGAAGATACTTTATAATTTCTTTTTCCCCCCGCTTACACTTAACAGCGGACTTCACATCACTTCACTGCCAAAATGACATCATTTTCCACCTCTACCCAGCGTTCAGCATCTGACAGTGCTTGCAGGATCTCTCCAGAACAAACCAATCAGGTAAATTATTTTTAGGCATTCCTGTTTTTCTTCAAGTTTTTGAATAGATTGGGGCATGTCGCTGACTTCATTGACTAGGATTTTATGTAGAGCAGAAAAGATAATAGCATCAGTTCTCATAAATTTGAATTGATCATTGGTTAAATAAATATTTAAAGGTTTCAGATTGCTCAAAATGGCACATTTTAAACACCACCCTGTTTTAGGAGATGACTGGCTAGTGGAGAATTTGGGGCCAAGTTATATATTTGTCTTCTTTCTCACTTCATTGTAGCTAGTTTGTTTTATTTAAAAATCACTTTTAAATTGTAAATATAGCAAGTGTATTCTTATTAAAAAATTCAAATTTTTATCACATGTTTATCTGTAGAGATTCCTGTGACCATTCCTCCCTTCTTCCCTCAAAGTTCTCTCCCCCTAAGATAAACACTATTATCAATTTGGTGTGTCTTGTTCCAGATCTTTTCCTTTAACATGAAAATACATAATTTTGTTTATGATTTTATATGTATTGCACCATATATAAGTATTATGTATAAGTTTATGATAAAGCTGGAATTTGGATTTGATAAGGGAAAATGTGGCTTATGTAATAAAGGGCTTTTTCTTAATTGGCCATCTCTAGATGGAAACAGGGGAAGACCTCAAACCTTAAACAAAAATAAATTCCAGAGAGATAGATTTCAATGTAAAAAGTGAAATGATAAAAAATATTAGAAGGAAATTTAGGAGATGTTGTAAAACTTTAGAATAAGAGCAACTTTAAGACAAAACCAAAGAGGCTGTAAGAAAAAGAGAGAAACAAATTCGATCATATAAAGTGAAAAAAGTTAAATTGTTTGACTAAAGACATACTCCACAATCAAACTCAGGAGATGGCAAAGTCACTGTTCCTTATATGTATATACCACACCTTATTTATCCATTCATCTATCAGTGGTATTTAGGTTGTTTCCATATTTTAGCTATTATGAATAATGCTTCTATGAACAGTGGCATACAGATATTTATTTGAGTCCCTGCTTTCAGTTCGTTTGGATATACACCTAGAAGTGGAACTGCTGGGTCATACGGTAATTCTATGTTTAACTTTTTGAATAACTGCCAAACTGTTTCACAGTTGCTGCACCATTTTACATTCCCATTAGCAGTGCATGAGGGTTCCAGTTTCTTTATATCCTCTCCAACACTTTTGTTATAGCCATCCTAGTGGGTATGAACATGCTGTCTTTTGAAAATGTGATTTTTCAGAAAATTAGCAAGTAATAGTCTGATCATCTGTAGTTACTAGATGCTAAATTAGTCTGCCAGGGTTTGTTTAAAAAAAAAAACAAGTTTAAGGTTTGATTTTCCCTTGGATTTCAGAGACCACTCTGATTGAAATGTAAATAGCAAGTTTATTTTATGTTTTTATCAGGTACGACCAAAACTGCCTCTTTTGAAGATTTTGCAAGCAGCAGGTGCACAAGGTGAAATGTTCACTGTTAAAGAGGTAAGCTGGGACTTCCCTAGTGGTCCAGTGGTTAAGACTTTGGCTTCCAGTGCAGAGGGTGTACTCTTCTGAGGACTGAGTTATGTTAAATACTTATGCATTTAAATAACTTAGTTCTAATTTTTTTTTTTAAACAAAAATTTTTTAAGTGGAAAAAACTCTATTGAAACATTAGTCTCTCTGAACTGCTTGGATTTAGTAGAGTAAATATCTAACCCTTCTTAAACAGAGGGAAGGAACAAAATTATCAAGCTTTTTTTGACTTTTCATAAAAGCTTATCAGGATTTTCCAGTGGTACAGTGGTAAAGAATCTGCCTGCTAATGCAGGAGACACAAGAGATGTGGGTTCAATCCCTGGGTTGGGAAGATCCACTCATAAATTTGAATTGATCATTGGTTAAATAAATATTTAAAGGTTTCAGATTGCTCAAAATGGCACATTTTAAACACCACCCTGTTTTAGGAGATGACTGGCTAGTGGAGAATTTGGGGCCAAGTTATATATTTGTCTTCTTTCTCACTTCATTGTAGCTAGTTTGTTTTATTTAAAAATCACTTTTAAATTGTAAATATAGCAAGTGTATTCTTATTAAAAAATTCAAATTTTTATCACATGTTTATCTGTAGAGATTCCTGTGACCATTCCTCCCTTCTTCCCTCAAAGTTCTCTCCCCCTAAGATAAACACTATTATCAATTTGGTGTGTCTTGTTCCAGATCTTTTCCTTTAACATGAAAATACATAACTTTGTTTATGATTTTATATGTATTGCACCATATATAAGTATTATGTATAAGTTTATGATAAAGCTGGAATTTGGATTTGATAAGGGAAAATGTGGCTTATGTAATAAAGGGCTTTTTCTTAATTGGCCATCTCTAGATGGAAACAGGGGAAGACCTCAAACCTTAAACAAAAATAAATTCCAGAGAGATAGATTTCAATGTAAAAAGTGAAATGATAAAAAATATTAGAAGGAAATTTAGGAGATGTTGTAAAACTTTAGAATAAGAGCAACTTTAAGACAAAACCAAAGAGGCTGTAAGAAAAAGAGAGAAACAAATTCGATCATATAAAGTGAAAAAAGTTAAATTGTTTGACTAAAGACATACTCCACAATCAAACTCAGGAGATGGCAAAGTCACTGTTCCTTATATGTATATACCACACCTTATTTATCCATTCATCTATCAGTGGTATTTAGGTTGTTTCCATATTTTAGCTATTATGAATAATGCTTCTATGAACAGTGGCATACAGATATTTATTTGAGTCCCTGCTTTCAGTTCGTTTGGATATACACCTAGAAGTGGAACTGCTGGGTCATACGGTAATTCTATGTTTAACTTTTTGAATAACTGCCAAACTGTTTCACAGTTGCTGCACCATTTTACATTCCCATTAGCAGTGCATGAGGGTTCCAGTTTCTTTATATCCTCTCCAACACTTTTGTTATAGCCATCCTAGTGGGTATGAACATGCTGTCTTTTGAAAATGTGATTTTTCAGAAAATTAATAAGTAATAGTCTGATCATCTGTAGTTACTAGATGCTAAATTAGTCTGCCAGGGTTTGTTTAAAAAAAAAAAAAGTTTAAGGTTTGATTTTCCCTTGGATTTCAGAGACCACTCTGATTGAAATGTAAATAGCCAGTTTATTTTATGTTTTTATCAGGTACGACCAAAACTGCCTCTTTTGAAGATTTTGCAAGCAGCAGGTGCACAAGGTGAAATGTTCACTGTTAAAGAGGTAAGCTGGGACTTCCCTAGTGGTCCAGTGGTTAAGACTTTGGCTTCCAGTGCAGAGGGTGTACTCTTTTGAGGACTGAGTTATGTTAAATACTTATGCATTTAAATAACTTAGTTTCTAATTTTTTTTTAAACAAAAATTTTTTAAGTGGAAAAAACTCTATTGAAACATTAGTCTCTCTGAACTGCTTGGATTTAGTAGAGTAAATATCTAACCCTTCTTAAACAGAGGGAAGGAACAAAATTATCAAGCTTTTTTTGACTTTTCATAAAAGCTTATCAGGATTTTCCAGTGGTACAGTGGTAAAGAATCTGCCTGCTAATGCAGGAGACACAAGAGATGTGGGTTCAATCCCTGGGTTGGGAAGATCCCCTGGAGGAGAAAATAACAACCCACTCCAGAATTCTTGTCTGGAAAATTCTATGGACAGAGGAGCCTGGCAGGCTACAGTCGATGGAGTTGCAAAGAGTTGGACACAACTGAGTACACACACACACAACAGCTTGCACCTATTAGCAATGCTGTATTCCTGAGTCATTCTACCTCTTTAGGAAACAAATCTGGAGGCATTTCAGATTTTCTAGAATACTCGTATTTCCATTGTCATTTTAAATTAAGTGTATCATTTTGGACTTTATATTTAAAATACTGATAAAATTTTTTTCCAAACTCTTATTAAAATGTGGATTTTTATATCAATAAAGTTGTTATAATGCATTATGCAGTCTCCTTCAGTAGCATGGCAGAGTTTGCCTGAGTTAAGACAGAATTAAGTATATATTGTTTCAGGAAACTGTTTTATGGGGGAAAAGTTGGGCAGTCAGTTTATACAGTAAGCTCTTTATCATGAATCTTGACACTATTTGGTACATAAAGAAGAATTTTCTCATTTTTATTTTTAAATACTGGTTATCATATGTGCATTGAGGCAGTATAGTATAATGAAAATGGTAGTATGTACAAATTCAGAGTAGTGTTTTTAAAGATCTTATTTTGTATACTTAGAGTGGATTTATTTTTTTCTGGAAGTTGGATAGACATAAATGTAAAACTTCCTTTTCCTTACAGTAGATGTTCTTTCTCATCTTACTTTTCTCTAGATAGTCGATTAGATATGAGAGCTCTGTTAATACTGGGATGCGTTGCCTGGGATGGAGGAGAGCCTGAGAGCATCGTTACTCCAGTAAAATAGAAACAGTATATAGTGCAAATATCTAATAATTCTTGGGAAGTCAGGGACTAAAGATAAAAATTGCTGCTTTGATCTGTTTTGTGGTCTGTGATAAAATTCTTACTGTCATCAAGTGAACTTAACTATTAAGCAATTTTAAAAAAAGGACTTTATGAGTGGCGCATTGGTAAAGAATCTGCCTGCCATCGCAGAAGGTGCAAGAGATGCTGGTTCGATCCCTGGCTTGGGAAGATCCCCTGGAGTAGGAAATGACAACCCACTCCAGTATTCTTGCCTGGAGAATTCTATGGACAGAGGGACCTAGTAGGCTATAGTCCATGGGATCTCAAAGAGTCAGACACAACTGAGGACACGCTCACACACACACTACCCACACACAGTTTTTTAAAAAATCTACTACCTGGAGGAAACATTTGGAAAATTAGATAATTAAAAATTTTTGAATCACTAACTTCTGTGTCTTCACTTCCATTTCGTTAAGTCTGTGAAAAGGTCAGATAGACTAAATTTTTCTTTGATAAACACTTAAATTGTTTTATGCACTTATAGTGCTGATGTCTTATTAACCATTGTACTTCAATTTGCCAGAAAGATTTAACTGAACACACATCAAAGTCTATGGTAGTTGTGTGCTCTAGAGTTGGAAAACATTTTTATGATCCAGGCAGATTTTATTACTTCTAGTAATAGAACAGATCCCTTTATTTGGACTGGTGAGAACATTTTTAAGGGAATACCTGGTAAATTCACTGCTTTTCCTCATTGTCAGACTGGTATATTTCTGTTCTAAAACGTAAGCGTCTCTCAGTGTCCAGAATAATAGTAAGTAGATGAACTTAGTAATTGGGGGCAACTATCCTGTTGTAGGACCCCTTACACAAGTACTGATAGTCATATTCATAATATGTTATCTCTTTCTCTAGCAAACAAACTTATCTCCTCATTTAATTTGTATTTTGGACCGCAACTAGACAAATCTCTTCATGGTATTTTATTCCCATGTAGGTTATGCATTATCTAGGCCAGTATATAATGGTGAAGCAGCTTTATGATCAGCAGGAGCAGCATATGGTATATTGTGGTGGAGATCTTTTGGGAGAACTACTGGGTCGTCAGAGCTTCTCTGTGAAAGATCCAAGGTAAAAACTGAGGGTTTGTTTATCTTTTGGGGTGCTTACACCTAACCACTTAATCCCCATGGTTATTAATATTTATTTAATCCTTTAGTCCACAAGTTATTTGTTGGGCCTGCATATGTCAGGTGACTGTGAGGTACTGGAAACATAATAGTGAGCAACAGTGTTTATAATTTTATGGAGTTTAATGAGTAGTGAGACAATAAACACTGTTCCTCATCTTAATTGAATTGTCACATCAATACATAGTAAAATTATATATGGTAAGTGTTACATAAAAGAGGTACATGAGACTATTGGGGATGGGATTCAGGGTCTTGGGGTTGAAAGGTTCCTTGAGGAAGTGATATTTGAGTTGAGAGCTGGATGATCAAATACTCGGGGGAGCCTGTTGAAGGAGAGCTTCTGGCAGATTGAGCATCGTATATAAAGGCTTAGGCAGGAGGGAGCTTGACTAGGTTAGATTTTGTGAAGTATTGTTATAGAGAGGAAGAATGAGCTGACGAGAAATGTAGAATTGCTGGGCAGTTTAAGGTTAGTGATGGGCTTCATAAGAATCACACTAGAGCCATTCTGACCTGTTGCGTGGCATTTTCCAGCTGCATGGGGTACTTAGTTATTCACTTAGACAATCAGGAGCTAATTCGTAGTTGAGAAGTCAGTGTTCTCTTTCTCTCTCTATAGCTTTGTGATTAGTTTTTCTAAGACTCCCTTCCAATAAAATGTAAAACAACCTTTAGAAGGAAGGAGTAGTCTTAAAGGAAATCTCCCCACTTGGGTTACTGTTAACTTATGAAATAAAATGTAAAATTTTTTTATGAGGGCAGAGTAATACAAGGGCTTGGGTACTAACATGCTGATAACTTATTAGTTTAAAAAAATGTATTCTGGGGGAAAAATTCTGCCTCTTCATATGTTATAGAGAATGTTGGGACATAGCATATGAAAAATATATTTAACATATTAATGGAAAACCATGTGATTATTAATTTTTTATTTTATCTCTTTTACAGCCCTCTCTATGATATGCTAAGAAAGAATCTTGTCACACTAGCTACTGCTACTAAAGGTACGTCACATCATATTTCTTCAGTCCTTATCACAGTTTTAACTTTAAGGGGGCAAATCATGGGTAAACAGGGAGGATTTAGATGGAAATTGAATGCTGTCTTTCCATGACTTGGGGGGGGGGGGGGTTGGCTGTCACACAAAATGTTGCTACTACTTATTTGACTTTTCATTGTAAACATTTTCAAATATACTAAAAATAGAGATTAGCATAGGTAAAGCCCACCTCTTAGACTTAGTAATTGTTAATGTTCTGCCATATTTGCTTCATCTACATGGGCTTTAAAAGAATTAATAGTAATAAACAAAATAGTAACTCCATAACATTACCCAGCAGCCAGTTCATGTATGTTAACTCCAGTTATTTCAGAAATATCTTTTACATTTGGCTTATTCAAATCAGTATCCAAACAAAGTCCACAGTTTGCTTTTGGTTGATATGTCTTGCTAAGTATTTTTAATCTATAAAACTTAACCCTCTTTTCATTATATTATTTGTTGAAGAAATGGATCATTTCATTTGTGTTATAAATTTCCCACATTCTGATTTTCAGATTGTGTCCTTGTGATATTGTTTAACATGTTTCTCTGTCTCTTCTATTTCTGGTGAACAAATAGTGTTTGGATAGATTCAAGGTTAAATTTTTTGCCAAAATTTCATAGGTAGTGCTTCATATATCTATTGCATCACATCAGAGCCATGTAAGGTCTATGTATCCCTTTTTCAGTGGTGTTAATATTTTGTGGGCTTTATGTGGTGTTACCCTGACCCATCTGTTATAAAGGCCCCCCTCCCCTGCCCCCGAAGAACCTTTTTTCCTAAAGGTTTTAGTTTTCTGTTAATTTGAATGTCAATTCGCCTGACCTTTCGCTTGATTCCACATATTTTAAATACTTCCCTTTGAGTTTAATTTATTAGTCTTGTGCAGGAAACTGGCTGTTTTGGGGTCTGAAGTATGGTGTGTTAGAGATAAGTGAATAAACTGTATAGAGCTCAAATATAACCCTCTCACTCATTTCCAAATAATGAAACTTTTTTCTTTCTCCATTCCTACATGAAGCACTTTTGTGAGTTTCAGATTCGATTTTAGGTGACATTGTTGTTTGAAGAAAACCCAAGTTGGTAATAATCCCTTTAGATTGGCTATTTTTCAATAGTTTACTGAAACAGAAACAGGTTGAAAAAAAAATCCATTCCTAATTAAGATTTACTCTTTATAGTGAGAGCGAAGAGACTCTGCTCTCATACTGAAATGTAAGTTTGAACTTACATTGAATTTTGAAGCCTGTTGGTTTCACTGAGCCACTCACCCATCTATAAAGCTGTTTTAGAGGGAAGGCCTTGCAAATGATATGACACTTTTTTGAAATTCAGGCACTTGTGAAATAGTATGGTTTTCCTGGGATAGTCATTATTGTCTTGAAATACACAAGTAATTGTATGTTTATTGATCTATTCTTTCAGTAAAATTTGCTTTCTGATCTGTTCTCTGAATATCTAGAGTGAGCATAATTCTTACTTTTCTCTTATTTTCTTTCTTGTACTTCCTCATCAGAATTTAACATGCTGTTTATTAAATGAACTCTCCTCTAACAGACATTTCAATTTATCCTCACAACCCTATGAGGAAGGTCTGGAGATGAAGATACTGAGGATTTTTGAGTTTTGTTTTTGCTTTTTAAATAAAATGAGTAATTTGCCCAAGATGAGATGCCACTGATACGAGAGCAGATATTTGTGACTCCTGCCCTTGCTCTTTCCTTTATGCCACACATTGATGTCTGTTTAATCCCTGCTTTTAAAAAATTTGCCCCAATTAATTTTTTAACACATTTAAAAAAATCTGAACATTAAATCTCTGAAACATTCTTTGTTCTTTAATTTATCACTTTTAAATAATTTCACTTACAAAAATGTTACAAAGATATTAAAAAGAGTTCCCAGATTCCCCAATGGTACTAACTTATATAACTGTAGTACAGTGATCAAAACCAGGAAATTGCCCCAAAGTAATTTTGACTGGTTGTTCTGAACTTGAGCTTGCTTTAGTGCTTATGGTTGGCCATCTCTGTTGCTCTTCGTAAGTTGGATTGCGTGTTTTTTATTTGAAAGGACAAATGAGAAAACTGCTTTCCCTATCAATTACTTTATACCTTTGCAAACAAAGTAAACCTTTTATTTTGATGGTTGAAGAAGTGAAGGTTGTTCTTTATAAATCATTTCTCCAAATTTCCACATGTATTTGAATAAAATGAAATTTATATGACAAATTTTGTATTGAAATTTCCTTGTACATTGTAGTTTTCACTGGTAATTTATTTTTGCTTCTAATTGTTTTAACCTAAGTAAGGTAGTATTTAGAATTAGAAATGACAGTAATCAAATTACTTTATTAAAAAAAATGCTTCACTGCATTGTATGTTAATTGATCTTTAAAAACTGCTGTGCTCAGAAAATGCTGGCTCTTAAAACTTCTAGTATCTTCATTTTATCTATAAAAATGCTTCTAGAAATAATGCTCTTTATAATTACAATTTTGAAAATATTTGCTCTGTGTCAGACAACTGATCTGTCAGACCAGTTGTAGGATCTGTATCCTTTCTCTGGAAGTCTTTATTGGATGAGGAATGACATTTTCTGTTAAGTGTCTTATTTCTGGATGTAATAGTAGCTGATGAACCCAGTCTATGATGGACTTATTTGAGTGCATATAGTTATGTATAGCCTTATGTAATGAGTGGTCCAAGGTTATTAAGTTTTCTGCATCTTTTCCTGTAGCTAAATTTTCATCTTCTCTTCTGCTTGAAAAATTTGCAAGGCCTTGAAATACATTTTTCTCTGATTATCTAAGAAGTTCTCTCAGGTTATTCTTTCCTTCACTCCTTTTTGTTGGCCTTGAGAGGAACTTTATCTTCTTCCTCTGCCTTAGGAAATGTTTACAGGAACTGGGAAAAATAAGTCTTATTCATTAAAAAAAGTATATACCTGGTGATAATAGTTTAAACCGTGAAATATCATTTACACTTAGAATGTAACTTTACGTGAGGGAACTATTGTGTCATAAAGCAAACCTAGATTTTTTAGATTTCATAATTCTATATAGCTTTAACACTTGAAAATAAAAATTAAAAAGTCAAAAATTTTTTTATTGTTTAATAAAGGCAAATTTGGAATCACGCCTATAGGAATTGATAAAATACTCCCCATTATTCCATGCTTGGAATCACTGTCATATTAAATTTTAAAGCATCACATGGAAGAACATTTTTTATTCATTTTTCATTTTTCTTCAGATTATATTTTGGTAATATATTTTGAATAGAGCCTCTTTTGGTCTATGCCATTTTTATTAGTTTTAATTTTTTTACTTTCCTTTTGGATGAGAGCCTTGGCCAGTCAAAATTAGGGATCGAGCCTGGCTTCAGGGTTGTTTGCTGAGGTCCTTTTGGTGTGGAAAGAACGGCTATTACCAGGGAAGGTTTTCCTTTTGTTTTACTTGCTATCCAGATGCTGCTCAGACTCTCGCTATCGCACAGGAGCACAGTATGGATATTCCAAGTCAAGACCAACTGAAGGTAAAATCACCACACGGTGACTTCTTTTGTTGTACAGAGTGGCCCCTTCTCTGTACCTATGATCTTGGACTCCCAAGACCTTTCCTGAATGTGGTAAGAATTTAATAAGAAAGGTTCTTGGGAGTTCAAAGACTAGGGACAGAGCGAACCTTCTCTGTTCTGCCCATAACAGAGTTCCAGTCTCTGAATCTTTCTTTGGGATGTAGCACTTCCGATCTTTAGTTCTTCCAGTTGCATTTTCTTGGGGCTTGTGTGTGATGGTGTATGTATATAGGTATTTGAGGAAATTGCTTTATTAGATTTTAACAGACTTGTTGCAAATAAGTTCATGTCAGGCCATTTCTTAAAGCTTCCCTAAACCTGCAAAAACTTTATGATCATCTTGGTATATGTTTTCTGCATTATGCCTAATTTTGTGTAGGCTAGAGGCTTTATATTGATAGCCTGTTTTTAACAGTAGATTTTGAACTTTTGTGCAGATTTTTTTCCCACAGTGGGTTGAGGAGAGGTTGCCTGTATTTGATGACTGTTATATGAACTCCAGAGTTTCCTTTTCTGGTGCGTAACCCATTGTGTCGCACACTAACTGGTGAGCTGGAATGGAACTGCTACATCCCCTGGTCACAGTCGTTTCTGCTGCACTGATAGATGCGTTTCCCTTCCTTTCAGCAAAGTGTAGAGGAAAGCCCCAGTTCCAGGAAGAGAACTGAAGAAGGCAATATTCCCACACTGCCTACCTCACAGTATAAGTGCAGAAATTCTAGAGCAGGTAAGTTTTGGTTTAGAACTATGTAGACTTTTCTTTCTCTTTCTTCTTTTTTTGGTGTTGACTTTTAGAAATGGCATCTATCTGTATTAAGCACTAGCAGTATTTAAGACCATTATATCGAGAACTCAAAAAAATAATAATGCTGTTTCTTATGTGATGTAGCAGAGGTGTATGTCATACTTATTTTCACTCTTTTCTGAAAACCTTTTCTTTATCCTACTTACCACTGTTAACTTTGAAGAAGATGGTAGTTCTCTTTTAGCAATACATGGTGACTAGGATGGAGCAAGACCATCTTTAGCTAGCATGCTAATAGAAGATAGCCATACATTTATCAATTTGCCACCTTGTAACTCGGCTGCCTTGGCATTTTAAATCTTGGCTCCCCTGTATATATTTGATCTGGTTAGAATTTTTATTCGTCTGCTTGAGGCAGAGGCTAATTTTCATATATTTTTGGAGTTTGCAAAGATGGTAAAATGGACCTAATGTCTCAGAGCCAAGAATGAGACATAAGAGACCTAGTAGTTCCTTTACCCTTGAATGGTCGTCATTAGATCTTTCCCATTCATATTAGATAGAGTAGAGTCAGGTTAAGTGAGTTGATCAACATTTTGGAAGTTTTCCCCAAACCCTGCTTTATAAAGTATTTCCTAAACTTTTTCCTGCAAAGATAATGTAAAGTCATAAATTTCTTAAAGACATTTTATGGCATGATGGTTTCTAGTATAGGTACCTGACTCACATTTGCAGAAGTGGCAGGTCAGACCTCTGGCAACATCCCAGAAAATCATGATGCTGCAGTTGTTGTAAATGATGAAATTTAATCTGTTTATTATACTGGGTTGTTTTCTTCAAATTGCTTTGAATATAAGCTGAATTTGGGGCTATCTAGTTAGCTGGGAGCTTATTTCAGTCTGTATGGTACTAAGTGTGTAATTTTGTTTCTTTAAATACAAGCCTTTGCTTATTTTCTATTCAAAGGCTGTTTAATATATAACAACAGTCGAGATGAAAAACTGTAGTTCATGATGTAAATTTTGAGAATTAATAGCTTAGTATTCTCAGGGATGTGTATAGGTAGAAAGTACAGAATTTTTACATGTGGAAAGAATGGCCTTTTTTTCATTCCCTTCAGAAGAAGTTATAGAGCTTGAATAGTTGAAGATAACTTTAATGTGATACCATCTCAGAATTAGGTTTCTCATAATTTCAGCAGTGAGTAAATAAAAGGTAGTTGAAGTTTCCCTGAGCACAGGTATACCTTTTAATAGTCAGGAACAACATAATTTATAAGTAGATACGGTAACTGTTCTGGCAGGGATCCATTTATTGCAGACATCTTTTCAACCGTATGTACCTTAGCACATTTAAACACCTTTAGTTGCCATTGGCATGCCTAGTGTATTTTGAAGAGGTAGAAAAGAGTAAGAAAGTACAACAAGAAAGATTGGACAGTGGGAAAGAATGAAAAGAATTTCATGTGGTAGCAATAAACTTACAATAGTAACTCCCTTGAGTATTATTTAGATGTACAACACAAGATCTTTTATTTAGAACATGTGGACCCTTAATATGTCCTGGATTTGTAATATTTCTAGCTTTTAAATGTCTTAACTCCAAAAAAGCCTGTTGATCCAGAAAGGACATATATGTGTATTTATTTGGACAGCCTAGAGTTCAGTGTTTCATAGTGGTTGTTACCTATTGAAACATAGGAATTATTGAGAAACGTCTGAAAATATGTGATACCAGTGAGACTGCCTTGACAACCTTGTGATTGCTCAATATGCTCTGTACCACCTAGTTTCTATCTCAAGGATTGGGCCACTATGCTATCACCATTTGCAGTCACGAATCAAGTCATCGTCCGGTATCATGTACTAGAGCAAGTCATTCCTTAGTTATTATAGTGGTTCAGTTCAGCTCAGTTCAGTCGCTCAGTCGTGTCCGACTCTTTGCGACCCCATGAATTGCAGCACACCAGGCCTCCCTGCCCCTCACCAACTCCCGGAGTTTACTCAAACTCATGTCCATCGAGTCGGTGATGCCATCCAGCCATCTCATCCTCTGTCATCCCCTTCTCCTCCTGCCCCCAATCCCTCCCAGCATCAGGGTCTTTTCCAATGAGTCAACTCTTTGCATGAGGTGGCTAAAGTATTGGGAGTTTCAGCTTCAGCATCAGTCCTTCCAATGAACACCCAGGACTGATCTCCTCTAGGATGGACTGGTTGGATCTCCTTTCAGTCCAAGGAACTCTCAAGAGTCTTCTCCAATACCGCAGTTCAAAAGCATAAATTCTTCCTGGTAGGCATGTTTAAAATGCCACCAAGTGACCATTTAGAAATCCTTTTAGAACAATGTTATTGTTTGGACGCTTTCAGAGTTTGTGTTTCTTGATGAATGACCTCTAGTGTCATTACTTGATAATGAAATCTAAAAGCAGAGGAAGGAGATTTGGGCTTTGCAATTGATACAGGTATTTGATTTCTGATTCTTTCTTACTAGGAAGAGGATTTTCTTTTTACTTGCCTTATACAAGAAATTTTAAGTATTATGAAGAGAGTCTTCTTGATTCTTAAGTGTTATATACATAGTTATCATCTTTTCCATTTGACTTTTGTAGATGAAGACTTGGTAGCAAATTTAACTCAAGAAGAGACATCAAGACTGGACCTCGGGTTTGAGGAGTGGGATGTAGCTGGCTTGCCTTGGTGGTTTTTGGGAAACTTGAGAAATAACTATACACCTAGAAGTAATGGTTCAACTGATTTACAGACAAATCAGGTAAATTTCACATTTGAAGAGAAACTTTTTTTTCTTTTGATGGAGTGACATTCTTGATTACTCTTGAAACATACATTACCTTGTCTAAGAATTCCCATTCAGTGCTATGACTTTTTAGTACCATCTATATGCCTGTAATGCCCAAATCTGTATCTGTAGCCCTGACATCTCTCCTCAGTACCCAGCTTCCATATCTAACTGCCTACTCAACACTGGATGATCTGACATTCTCCATGATCAAAACAGAACTCCTGGGACTTCCCTGGTGGTCCATGGCTAAGATTCTGTGCCCTCAAGGCAGGGCGGCCAGGTTTGATCCCTGGTCAAAAAATCAGATCTCATACACTAGAACTAACAGTTTGCATGCTGAAAGTAATGATCCTGTGTGCTGTAATTAAGACTTGGCGTGGCCAAATAAATATTTTTTTAAACCCCAAAAGAGAGCTTTTGATATTTTCCTTAAACATTTTTTATTTAATTGTCTATTTGGCTGTGCTGAGTCTTAGCTGCAGCATGTGGAAGCTTTAGTTGCCGCATGCAAACTCTAGTTGCCGCATGTGGGGTCTAGTTCCCTAACCAACGATGGAACCTGGGCCCCCTGCACTGGGAGCGCTGAGTCCCAGCCTCTGGACCACCAGGGAAGTCCCTCAGTTTGTTTGTTTTTTTAACTAATATTCCTATTCAGTGTTTCCTTTTACTTACATCTACCTTCTCCTCAGTTATTCTAGCCACATATCCAGAGATTTCTTTTTTTTTTTTTATTCATAGTATCCAGAGATTTCATTGATTTCTTTCTCTGTCATATACCATATTCAGGTTGTCAACTCTTTTTCTAAAGCATACCTGAAATCTAACCACTTTTTATTACTTCCACAGTCTAATTCATCACCATTCTGCTCTTTTATATTCTCCATTGCGCTTCTTACTCTGTATTGTTGTATTTTGTTTATGTATCTATTGTCTGTTTGACCCCATTGAAGTATAAGTCCAGGGCTTTTAATTGACCACTCTTTTCTGTTGCTTTTATTGACCATTGTATTCTGTTGCTTAGTAACTAGTACCTGCTTCGTATCTGACACATAATAGACACTATTTGTTCAGTAAATGAATGGACATATAGAAATAAAATAATAAGTTGTCTCAGGAATATTGTAGAAAAGCATCATAAAGTATACATAGATGAATGTGGAAACAGTTATATTTAAAGTTGTTTAAGAATTAGAAAGAAGTTATATACCAGCTTTATCTCAATAAAACAAAAGAATTCAGAAAGAGGATAGAGGTTTATATTGTCATCAGTATCTCTCATATTTCTTTAATAAACATCATTGACTTACAGGGAAGAACATGTCACAATTAACAGAAAGTTTTCTAGGTCCTCAGATTTGCCACCTGTAAAAAGGAATGTAGGAGATGGATTTTATTTAGTTGAGCAACTAAGAGTTTTTAGCTTTTAAGCACTTCATTGCTGTTTCTCTGGTGTTACTATTAAAATAGAAAATTCCTTGCCAAGTACTCTCCTATCCACCCATTAGTCTATACGTAGTCGCTGCCAAGTAGATATTTGTTGAATGAGTAGATATCTGTAGAAGAAAGGCTAGGCATTCTTTTGAGATGTATGAGGACATTGAGTTTTGGGTTCATCTACTTTGATTCAGCTGGCAATCCCACTCCAGTATTCTTGCCTGGAAAATCTCGTGGATGGAGGAGCCTGATAGGCTGCAGTCCATAGGGTTGCAAAGAGTCAGACATGACTGAGCGACTTCACTTCACGTCACTTCACAAAAACTCATGTTTATTTTTTTCTGTTAGGATATAGGTACTGCCATCGTTTCAGACACCACAGATGACTTGTGGTTTTTGAATGAATCAGTGTCAGAGCAATTCGGTGTTGGGATAAAAGTTGAAGCTGCTGATCCTGAACAAACAAGTGAAGAAGTAGGGAAAGTGAGAGACAAAAAGGTATGTTGTGGAAAAATTTCACATTGATTGTATTTATGTACATATAGTATAACTTGTTCAGATTGGTTAACCTGACAGTATGCTACTTTGTACAACAAATGACTCATATAATCTCCCCTTTTCATTTTTTAATACTTTATCCAGTTTTAAGATTTATATTAAGTTAACCATGCCTGTCTTAAAAATAGGATAGGACTTTGTGGATCACAGAAGTGAGGTTTTAATTTTTAGAATTTTAAAGTTTAGAAGACACTCCCCACATTTTCTCATGTAATCCTATTTTATTCTTATGAATGCCTTCCTAGATTTTCAAGATAAAACATTTCTATATTTAATAATTTATACCCTAATACTGTTTAGGGAAGGCAGTGGCACCCCACTCCGTACTCTTGCCTAGAAAACCCCATTGACGGAGAAGCCTGTCCATGGGGTTGCACAGAGTCGGACACGACTGAAGTGACTTAGCAGCAGGAGCAGCAGCAGCAATACTGTCTATTTAAATACATAAATTTGGGGATGCTGTCCCTTCTGAATGCTGAAGAGATAGTTGGTAACCCTTCTTGGTGCTTTTTGATCATTTATTCTACTGAAATGTCAGCTAGGTATGTACAGAATCATGTTTTCGGTCTTACATATAAGCTGTCTCATTTTTAAGTGCTAGTGATGGTGGAGGAATGTGAGTTTTAAACTGAAGCTCTGTACTTTCTGCTCTCAGGTAACAGCCTCATCTAAAATACGCAAACCTGGCTAATGAGATGTTTTTGCTTTCTCAGGTGGTTGACATGGGAAAAAATGATGACCTGGAGGACCCTGAATCCATAAGTGATGATAGCGACACAGAAGTTACCTCTGAGGTGTGAATGGCTAATGGGCTGTTTGACACTACTCACGTCTTTAGATGCTAATGTCCCCGCAGTGCACTTGTGTTGAAGAGTGCCCTTTCTCCCCATTTCTGTGTACTTTTCCTAGGTGTTAAGAAATGTTGGTTTCTTTATATCTTGTTAGATTTTTATTGGAATTTGAGAAGAGAAGGGGATGAGTTGATCTGATGCTTTCCCTGCCTTGGAAAGGGATGACTCAAATGCCTCTTTGTGTGCCTTTCTTCCTGCTTTCAAAACTCTTTGGAAATTTTGCAGTGGCTACATAGATTTAAAGTAGTCCTACACTGCTTTTCCCGCTAAACACCTCTCTGTAGTCCCAAAGATAGACCTATAAGCTATCTGAAATTTTTTGTTAAGTATTATATTTTTGATGTTTTCTTAACTAGAAACAAATGGAAAATGGCTTAATGTCCATGGAGGTTTATATTAATGAAGGGTTGATAAATGGATTTTGAGTATTAAGCTGTTAGATTAGGTACGGATTTGTCATCAGTTGGCAACTCAGGTTTAGACTCAAGTGAATGTCTTGCTTGTCTCTTTTCATGCTAGCTCCCCATTTGCTCTTTAGTACTTTCTTTGGCTAACTGATTTCGGGAAGAAAGATGGTGGAGTAAGTTTAAGGAGGGGATTGTAACAGTCTGCTCCTTGGGGATATAAAAATCTTTGGTTGTCTCTACTGTTTATCCTGTCTCCCAACTCCCACCCCACCACTGCTGACCATTACAGTAATTCATTGCCAATTATTTGTCTGTGCATGGTTAAATAATAGGGTGGGATATATTGGTCCATTAAGTGTTCTTGACCATAATATGAACAGCAGAGATAAGTGTTTCCATCCTAATCAGATTTTTGAGGCACTTTGGGCCCAGAAAACCTGTTAAGCAAGTGGATTATATTTCATCAATTCAGAGCTGCCATAGAATTTCATAAATCCTATTATTTTATGTACTACTAAAAAAGAAAAGTGATGCCAATTAGACTATGACACACCATCAATTATGAATTCCAAATCTTTATGAAGTTCCTTGCATATTTGTATTGCATTTCAGATGAGATCTGAGGATCTTAAAACTGGCAAAACTGTTCTGAGGCTCTCTGGAGAAACATCCCAGTTTAACAAATGGTCATATCCCTGCCTCTCAGTATAGGCAGTTGAGTTATGACTTCCTTTTTTTTTTTTTTTTTTTTTTTTGAGTTGTGACTCCTAAACTTCAAGTGCTTGACCTTTGTTCTGAAAGTACAGATCAGCATGTATCAAATCATCGATCCTGTCAAAACCAGCCAATTACCCACATTTAAATACACTTGACTTCTTCCAGGTAGCTACCTTTGAATTAAGCAAGGCATTTAAAATTCATTGTGCTCTGTTATCTTCTAATTTGAATATGGAGAAGTAGGAAAAAAAATTACCTGGCATTCAAGGACAGGAGCATTCATTTTTCAGAGTGTGATTTAGGCATACAATTGCCTACCTATTCCTGAGAGCAGTGAGAGAAGGAGTAAATGTAGTAGTTGTCAAATAATCATTTTAATATTAGCTTCCTTTTTGACAAATTTTATAGCATTTTCTAATTAGTAGGAAAGAATGACATCTTGAGTATTACCTTTGCTTCATTCTTTAGCCTCTTGCTCAATAAAAGAGTAAGTTGTACAAAGAACTGCCTTTTTGTAAAAAGAAGGCAGTGGGTAAAAGCGAACAATGCAAATTGCATGCAGACTAAATAGAAAGCTAAAATAGTTTAACTTTCTTAAAGATAACTACATCACATTTGGCTTGAAATGGCAATTATGTCGCTATCATTGTAAAACTTCTCAAGATGTTCTTACATATAGCTGTAGACTTTGCTCAAGTTGTAGGCTAGAACTTGAGAGTCTGGTGTGAAATGCCTGGATTATTACTATCTTAGTGTGAGATGATGAAAATTTGGCCTACTCTCCCTTTTCCTCAGTATCATGTTTTCCACTGAGTGAGTATTAACTGGCTGCATTTGTCTTTGTAGGATGAGTGGCAGTGTACTGAGTGCAAGAAATTTAACTCTCCAAGCAAGAGGTACTGTTTTCGTTGCTGGGCCTTGAGGAAGGATTGGTACACAGATTATTCCAAGTTAACCCATTCTCTCTCCACATCTGATATCACTGCCATACCTGAAAAGCAAGAAAGTGAAGGAATTGATGTCCCTGACTGCAGAAGAACTGTATCAGCTCCAGTTGTTAGACCTAAAGATATATACAATAAGGAAGAAAACTCTCAACATTTTGATCCTTGCAACTCAGTGGAATTCTTGGATTTGGCTCATAGTTCTGAAAGCCAAGAGACCATATCAAGCATGGTAGAACAATCAGATAACCTTTTTGAACAGAGAAAAGATACAGAAAACATGGAGGATTGCCAGAATCTTTTGAAGCCATGTAGTCTGTGTGAGAAAAGACCACGAGACGGAAACATCATTCACGGGAGGACAGGCCATCTTGTCACTTGTTTTCATTGTGCTAGAAGACTAAAGAAGGCTGGGGCTTCTTGTCCTATTTGCAAGAAAGAGATTCAGTTGGTTATTAAGGTTTTTGTAGCATAGCTGAATCAGTGAATTAGACAGATATTAACAGAGCTGGTCATGTGTCCAAATATCAGTATTGAGCATCTCTACGCAGGGTGACTCATTTCATACTTTCATTTATTCTTGTAAACTTTTATGTTCTAAGCCATTTTTACCTCTAAACTTAATAGAATTTGAGAATAAGTTCTTTAGAACTACATTATCAGTATGGAGCCTATTAACATTAAAAGAGAAGTTAATCATTCTGTCTTCAAAGATGAGGATCTAGGAGGGAGCAGTACAAATAGAAATATATTCATCCTTTCATTTACCAAATTACCTGAAGATGAATCATTTCTTTATTTAATTTAATTTTTACTGTTCTTTTCTGGTAGGGAATGTTCTTGGGCATCAAAATCCAAGGTGACTGTTAGAAAGATATTAAAGCTATCAATGAAAAAACAAGTAATTCATGTATAAAGTAGATTATGTTGTGTGATTCAGAGAAACGATTATTTTTGTAAAGTGCCTAGAACAGTGATATCCAACATTTTTGCTAACATACCTCAAAAAACAATTTTGAAAAAGTACATACAACTTTTTGCACATTTTAAAAATTGAGGTGTAGTTAGCCAACAATAAAGTCAGTAAAGTGTTCCCTTCTGCTGAATTGTAGACATCTCAGTAGCCACCTGAAGCAAGCAGTAGTGCATTTCTATCTCCTTTTCCAGGCAGTTCCTCCATCATTTCATGACTCTTACCCTCAATTAGTTTTCCTTTTGCACATGTTAAATTTGACTTTTAAATTTTTAAAATAAATTTAACTACTTAAAGAGGATGTATCATCCAATATATTGTAGATGTGCTTTAAAGATATTTTTGCCAAAACCTTGGAGCTGTAGATCTGGCTGGTTGAATCTATAGAAAAAGTCCTGTCATGTAAACTGGCAAAGCCTATTCTCATTATAAAACTAATCAGCCAAATCAAACTTCAGTTTCAGTCGAAATGTTTGACTATATATTAATTTATTTTTTGGCCACACTGTACAGCATATGGGATCCCCGACCAGCAATCAAACCCATGCCCCCTGCATCAGGAGCATGGGGTCTTACCATTGAACCGCCAGGGAAGGCCCTGTTTGACTTCATTTTTAATCCAGTTACATGTATTACATACATCTGCGGCATAGCCTTCTCAGTCACAGTTCTAAGATAAGGCACAAAGGTTTTGACCAAAGCTGTCTGTGCTCTGCTCTGCCCTCTTGGTCTCCCAGGAGCCTGCTCGGGGTTTTTTGTCTTTTTATTTGCTGCCTTTAGAGGCTTTTTTAATGTTCTGAGGCAGTGCCCCATAAGATTCTAGGTGGGTGAGAGGCAGCCTTTTGGGTGAGAAGCAGCCTGCCTTCTGAGAATAGGGAGTATGGCAGTTGTGAAAAGGAAAGTATTTAAAGATAACCCTGAAGAGGTTGTATCTGTGCATGTAAATATTAGGATGATACATATGGAAATTGAAGATCTTTAAGTTGCTTTCCTTATAGATATTCCTGTCTACTTTCCCTATGGAAAAAATTTTGGTGTATGCTCAGCAGTATGAATATTTTGAAGACTAAGGCCCTAAAATTACTAAATTTAAGGCTCTTAAGAATCACCTGGGTTGCTTGTTATAAGCCCAACTTTACTCCCTGCCCCAAACACACACATATGCATGCATTCATATGGAATGTGGAGCTGGTGCACACACAGGTACAGAGAGTAGAGCAGAATCCCTTTATTTAGCATCGTGTTTAGAGAAGTTCTGCTAAACTTGTAGAAATTAACTAGCACACACTCATATACTCAACCTCTTATTTTGCACATGAGGCTGAAAGGATAAATGACTGCTGAAAGTCACAGCTAGTGATAGAGCTCTTACTGGGATCCAAGTCTCCTACAGTAAATCTTTAAACCATGCTTTCTTCCTTCTCATTATTTGTTAACTGTTTAAACTGTGGTATTTGTTGAATTTGGAATAACTAGTAGCCTTAAAATACTGAAGAATGTGAGCTGCAGCCGAAATAGGACTTCAGAGAGAATAGAGACTTATAACGGTTGCTCCTCAGAGAGAAAAGGCAGTACATGTCCGCTTCTCTTACCTAATCCGATAAATTACTCCTCTCACTGGAGAGACTAGTAGAGGCAGCAGAGGAACCTGAACTCTCTCTCCAGTGCTTCTCCTCCTTGAGGGATGAAACTTAGGTCTCTGGCTGTCTCCAGGCATTAGGGACAAGGATTTTTTCCCCTCAGTAAATAGAATCAGTCCTTCAAGTTCAGTGTTTTGTTAGACTGGTAAGTGCTCTAAAAATTTAGGAAGTTAGTAACTTTATGCCCCGTTCCCTCCCCCCCACACTACTCTCTTCATATAGTTTGATAGCTATTGATTTTGTTTTAATTTTGCCAGTTAATTGCTTTTGCAAGTAAAATGAAGAATAGTGAGAGCTGGGATCTGCACTTGTACCCTCTGGTCCCTCTTACATAAAGTTGAGTTTTTGAAGAAAGCTTAATAAGAAAAAGTCTAAAATTTTTATTTTTGTATATAGATATTTGTTGCTAATTTGCTAACACAGAATCCTCTTATGCTACTCTACTTTTTTTCCCCCTTGTATCACCTGGGTTTTTACTCTCCCCATTAGCAGTAAATACTTTGCTTAGAAGATTTTAAACTGCACATTTGAGCTGAAACTATTTCAATAAATGTACACTTAGGTGTACTGAACCCTTATCAAGAGTCTTGAATGACTGAAATGTTATGAAGAGCTTTATCTGCAGAAGGAGGTAGTATTTCTTTTGTAGCTTATCTGAAATCCAAGATGCTGCTTCTGCAGTTTGTTTTCCATCATCCAGGATCTTTGTTTTATTTATTTTTTCAACTTTTTACTTTGTATCAGAGTGTATCCAGGTAACAATGTTATGATAGTTTCAAGTGCACAGCAAAGTGACTCAACTATGCATATACATGTATCCATAAGAATTGGCCTGCAATACGGGAGACCCAGGTTTGGTCCCTGGGAAGATCCCCTGGAGAAGGAAATGGCAACCCACACCAGTATGCTTGCTTGGAGAATCCCATGGACAGAGGAACCTGGTGGGCTATAGTCCCTGGGGTCTCAAAAGAGTCAGACACAACTGAACAATTGACACTTTCACTTCATTCTACCCCAAACTTCCCTCGCATCCAGGCTGCCATATAACCTTGAACAGAGTTCCTTGTACAATACAGTGGATCCTTTTTGGTTATCCATTTTTAATATAGCAGTGTGTACATGTTGATCTCAAACTCTCTAATTATCCCTTCCCCCTACTTTTCTCCACTGGTAACTTAAGTTCTCTAAGTCTGTGATTTTGCTTCTGATTTGTAATTAAGTTTACTTGTATAATTTCTTTTTTGACTCTGCATGTAAGGAATATCATGTGATATTTCTGTTTCTCCATCTTCACTCAGTATGTCAGTCTCTGGGTCCATCCATGGTGCTGCGGATGGCATTTCATTCTTTTTAATGGCTAAGTAGTGTTCCATTATGTGTATGTACCACATCTTCCTTACCCATTCTTCTGTTGATGGGCACTTAGGTTGCTTCCATTTTTTGACTGTTGTAAACAGCACTGCAGTGAACACTGGGGTGCATGTCCTTTCTAACCTGTTTTTCTCCACATATATTCCAAGGAGTGGAATTGCAGGGTCATATGGTAGCTCTGTTTTTAGTTTTTTTAAGGAAACTCCATACTGTTCTCTGTAGTGGCTGTACCATTTTACATTCTCACCAACAGTGTAGGAGGGTTCCCTTCTTTCCACACCATGTCCAATATTTACTGTTTATGGATTTTTTGATAATGGCCATTTTGGCTAATGTGAAGTGATAACCTCATTGTAGGTTTGATTTGCATTTCTCTAATAATTAACAATGTTGAACACCTTTTCATGTGCCTCTAAGCCATCTATATCTCCTTTTGAGAAATGTCTGTTTAGGTCTTCTGCCCATTTTTGTCTTTTAATTAAATTTATTATTTTACGGTAATTGTAGATTCACGTGCAGCTGTAGGAAACAGTACAGAGAGATGCCTTGTAATCTATAATAATTTCCTCCAATAATAACATCTTGAAAAGCTGTAGTACAGCATCACAACCAGGATATTGATGTTGATACTGTCAGGATAAAAAGTATTTCCATCACTGCTGGAATCCTTCTAAAATCCTTTATAGACCTGTTAGGTTCCTTATAACCTTATCGCCTCTTTAGCCCTAGAAATTACTAATTTGTTTTCCATTTCTGTGATATTGTGACTTCAGAAATGCTCATGCATGGAACCAAATGGTATGCAACCTTTTGGGATTGGATTTTTTTTTCCCCCAGCATAATTGCCTGGAAATATATCTGAGTTGTATATATGAATAATTCTTTTAACTGCTGAGCAGTATTTTAGGGTATAGCTATACTACAGTTTGCTTAATGATTCACTCATCAAATGACATCTAGATTCTTTCTAGTTTTTGCCATTATTAAAAAAGCTGCTCTAAGCATTTGTGTACATATTTTTGAACAAACTGAAGTTTTAATTTCTCTGGGATAAATGCTTAGTAGTACAATTGATAAGAAGGTATGGTAAATGAATTTTAGCTTATAAGAATTGCCAAATGCTTTTTCCTTAATGGCTATGTCATTTCACTTTCTCAAGGATAATTTAAGAGTGATCCAATTCTTTGCATGATCACTAGAATTTGGTGCTTTCACTCTCTATATATAACATTTAATTTTAGTCATTCTGATAGATAGGTGATGATATCCCATTGTGGTTTTAATTACAATTTTCCTAATAACTGAACCTTTTAACTGAACCTGAGATAAGTGAACCGGAACCTTTTATATGCCATACGTACATCCTCTTTGGTAAAGTGTTTATGTCTTTTGCCCATTTTCTAATTGCTTTCTTACTATTGAGTTTTGGGTTCAGTTCAGTTCAGTTCAGTTGCTCAGTTGTGACTCTTTGCAACCCCATGGACTGCAGCATGCCAGGCCTCCCTATCCCATCACCAACTCCCAGAGTTTACTGAGACTCATGTTCATTGAGTCAGTGATGCCGTCCAACCACCTCATCCCGTCGTCCCCTTCTCCTCCCGCCCTCAGTCTTTCCCAGCGTCAGGGTCTTTTCACATAAGTCAGCTCTTAGCATCAGGCGGCCAAAGTATTGGAGTTTCAGCTTCAGCGTCCTTCCAATGAATATTCAGAATTGCTTTCCTTTAGGATGGACTGGGAGTTCTTTTTATACTCTAGATATTAGTCCTTTGCTGTATATGGGGTTTGAAAATATTTCTCCCACTCTGTAGTTGGTCTTTTTATCCCTTTCAAAGGACCTTAGAAATAGTTTGTAGTTTTGATAAAGTTCACTTTATCAGTTTTTCTGTATATATTTTGTGCTTTGCTGTCAAGTTTTGTTTAG